ACTATTTCCTCTTACTAGATGCTATCAAAATAATTTAAAGATTAACTCCTCAAAAATGGAAACGCCAACCTTCCTAAAATATTAACAAGCATTTTAAGTAACAAAATTATCCTGTAAGTCAAACAGTAAATTTCACATTCATTGCCAAATTTAAAATACCAGTGATTTGAAGATTGAGGCCTAAAACATTAGTACTAAATTATAAAATACAATGTAAAAAATGTGCAGTAAGTTGCTTGTGAAAATATAATGGGATATTTCTCACAGTAATGTTAAAGCACTACTCTAAATGGGCAGTCTACGTAAACGTACCTTTACCAACAAGCAAGAAAACTGAAAAATTAAGGCCTTTATATGCTATATATTACTATCTGAACTCAAAGCCAAATAGAGGTTACAATACTGCAAAGTATTCCCCCTGGTGGTCAGTGCACTCTCACAGGGGGAGCACTGCTCAGCCAGAAGCTGGGCTCACGGCTGGTGAGCACAGCGACGGTGGCGGGACCCTCTCCCACCTCCGCGGCAGCGCTAAGGAGCACTGAGCCAAGCAGTAAGGAGGAGCAAGCTGAGCAGTAAGGAGTAGCGAGCAGGCAGGCGGTAAGGAGCAAGGGTTCCCGGACTGCGAGAGGGATATCCCAGGCTGTGAGAGGGCGCAGGCCTGGCTGAGAGACACACCGCCCTCCAGTGCATGCATTCGGTGCACCGGGCCTCTAGTGAACTAATAAGAAGCCTGACCTCCATGGGCAACTCTACTTGTTTCTCAAAGCATTAGTAGGCAATTTACCTCTTTGCACAACCAAACTAACAATTTTTTAAAAGAAACTGATATCTACGCTGTGATAACATAGAATGCAATGGAAAGACAACTGAAGCTACACATATATCAAATCAAGGTTAAAGGCACTGGATCAGAAAGATTATTACAAAGCATGGTAAATAATTTTTAAAGCAAATCAAGTTTTAAAGTATCAAATGTTGAACTGCTATGAGAAAATGGTACTAAAATGATGCTTTAAAATAGTTGACAAAATTTCTATAATTTCACACATAAAATTCTTTCATTGTTTTACCATTTTCTTTCATCCTATGTGTGTTCTATATTCCAAATCCTAGAAACAAATGTTTTCAGTTGCATGAAACAAGAAAAATGCAACTGAATTATCTTTGAAAATTAATTTTTTTCTTCAGTTATGTTTA